TTTTATTTAAGGAGAAAAATCACCCTTTGGAAATTCCATTCTTATCCCATCCAAACATGGACCTTTGATCCATTTTATTATTTGGTAGAACATATTGCTGTAAACTGTTGCTGATTTCAAGGATGAACATGGCAGAAAAAATGTGAAAGTTTCCGCCTAACATAAGAACATCTTACTAGAATTCTACACGTCACTAAATCACTGCCAAACATTGCTCTTCTTGCACTTGTGTACGCAACTCTGTGTATCAGAGTCACTTGTGTATCAGAATCAGAGCACATTTTTAAGAGCTCACATTAAATTAGCATTTGCTTTCATTATAGATATTTGAAAAAAATAATATATTAATTTGATGTGCAAATTTGTAATGTCCAATTTTAATATCAACTTCTGTTGTTTACTATTATGTTACTGTTTTTTTTTTTTTTTTTTGTTTTTTTTTTTTTTTTTTTTTTTTTTGTTTTTTTTTTTTTTTTTTTTTTTTTTTTTTTTTTTTTTTATGAAGCATCGCAACTTTTAGTCCCCAAGTTGAGTGCAAAAATTTAAATGACTCATCATATCAAAACCCTGCGCCCTGCTGTAGCATGGACAAATTGATTACATGTCCCCCCCCCTAAAAAAGTGCAGAATGAGCATTTATTTGGCTTTAATTTCAAATGAAAATATTCAGTGCGTTTCGATACAAGTGCGGTACGGCCAGCAGCAAAGTATTCTGTGCATGTACTGTAGCTTTTAGCATTTTGATCAGTTAACTTAATGCGTCGTCTATTGAGAAAATTCAAAATAAAAGGATAAACTATAACTTTATGATATAACTTATCAGCAACCTTGATCAATGAAAACTGGATAATATTTCTTACGAAATTCATAGCAATTCTATGCGTGTTCTTTTCTACAAACTAAGCTTTAATGTTTGTTACATAACATCATATGTATGTCAAAAAAAGGAAACTTAAAATTTTTATAGCTAATTATTATTAGTATCCAATTTGTTCTCCAGTTTTCTTTTGAAGAAATTATTCAAAAACGTTTTCTACGATTGAATTAAACGTTCTTGAAGCCCTGTACGTTCGTAAAAAATATGTTGTAGTTATTTTATAATTTTTCCCGTCTTCTGTATCGATAAATGTTTACACATGCCACCTTATAATCTTCTCTCCCTTTCTCTTTTTCAAAATTTCTCTTAATAGATGCTGTAACATTTCTAATGAGTATAATAATTCTATGCCTAATTTTCGCTCAAAAATAAGACTCACACTCTCCAGTTAGCCGTGGTTCTTATATCTTGAATACTGTACAGCGAAACGACAGAACTGATTATAGTTTCATAAAGGGCAAAAACTAAGGAGCAAGAAACTAAAAACAAAATCTCGATTAAAAAGCAAAGATGTTTCTTTCCGACAATGTTGAAACTTTCTTTTCTTTGCTTAACTTTTACATTCATGCACTAATGTAAAAGTTAACCAAAGAAGAAATTCTTAACGCTAGTCGTATTTTGCTTTTATGAATCTAATGATTAACCAAAATAAATGTTTAGCAAGAGACTTGGGCTTTCTGTCCTCATACTCTGGAAAGTCAAGGAATTTTCTTCACGACTGTAAGCTCTTAACAGTAGTAGCTCTACTCAGCAAATCAATCATAAAACAATTGGACTAAACCTGGAACGGAACCAAAGAATATATTCATCATTATATCACAAAGAATAGCCTTTAGTATTTTGTTGAAAATGGAGGTTAAATCGAGGAAGATGGCATTCTTGACTATTGAATGTTGCCCTTTTACAGTGAAATTCCTGGTGGAAATTACTACATTATTAAAGTGGGCATAGGTAAGCTTTTTATCCTATTTCCGAAAATCCGACGTGAATGAGAAAGTGTTTAGTTCGATATTTTGTAACACGATACGTGCATAAATATAAATTTTTTACGCATTCCACGATGCATGCATCTATACGTCAATTTTTAATCAGTCGCTCTAGAGGCTGATTATAGAAGGATGTATTAAGCGAACTGGCTTCTAAAGGGATACACTTAAATTAATCTTCAAGGTTTCTCATTCAAATAAAAATCTAATGCACAGAAAAGAAAGCTTTTATTAACTTACATATAATTTTATTTTATTTTAAAATAATTGTCAGTTCGACTTTTTTTACAAGCACTGCATGACTCGTTTAGAAAATTTCCAAAAACCATGGAAAACTGATGATTTTTTCTTTCTTTTTTTGGGGGGGGGTTGCGTGTGTTTTGTTTAAATCACCGAATTTAACTAATGATTCCAAGTTTTCGAAGTTAGATTCTCTTCTTTCTCTCTTGAATTAAATTTTAAGATTTTTCTTAGCAGCCAGAATAGCGTTTAAAAATGACTTCGGCATGCTTTGAACCTCAGCAAAAGCAGCTTTTGTTAGTAATGATTCTTCAAAGTATTAATATTTCCGCTTTTTATTTTAATGTCTACGTTGACATAATTTTAAGAACAGGACATAATTTTAACATTTTTTTTTTAATTTTTAGCAGAGAAAATATACGTATATAATTAGATCAAGCATTAAATGCTTGAAAAAAATTAACAAAACTGCAACTTATTCAACTCTTCCTAATCATCATATTCATAACATTTTTCTTTCCTTTTTTTAACTGTTTCAGTTTGTAGGCAGGACCATTCTTATTTCTAAACCTATCTAATTAATAATATCTCAATTTAAATAGCAAAAAATAGGACAATATGGACAGCTAACTCAATTTCAGGAATAGCAACACATAGAGAAATAGGACTAGAGAGATGTAATTTTTTAAACAATGTGAACATCATGTTCGAACTACTTGCCTATGGAAAGGAAGAGGTTAAGGGAATTCAGATTATGTCACTGCACTTTTTTCCTTTCAAAAACATGTTGAATGAGTAAATCTAAAACTGAATAATTTTGTTTAAAAGGGAAATAATAACGGAGTAAAAATTCAAAACTCGAAATAATGTTGAAAGTTCAGTTTTCCCCTTGAACCTATTCAAGTAATTGAAAGGATAACGAATTGATTTAAAGGATGTCCCCTTAATAAATGCAACTTTTTAAATGCCCGCCATTTCTGTTCTAGTTACTTAATTACTTAATTTCATCAATCATTTTTTATGTTATTGTGCACTCAAAAGTTGCATTTTTAAGGAACACTCTTTATTTTGGAACTTTGAAAAGGCAAGTTTATAAAGTTTTTTAAAAAGTCTTAACATTTTTTTCCAGCAAAAGTTGAGCCTTTCGAGGTAGGAATTCCAGCTTTTCAGAAATTTTTAATACCCATTATAGCAGAAGTAACAGAAAAATAAATACTTTTATAAAAGTCAAAATATTATTAACATTGTGCTGAATTCCAACTGAGATCAGGCAAATGTCTGAAGCTAAAAATTTTCAGCGGGGTTACAACTAGCAGTATGATGACAAGCTTGAAGTCAGTTGATTACAAACGTTTAATTACTTTCTTTAAATATAATTATTAACATGTGCTGTAACTTAACTAAGACTATATGAATGTATTGAATCAGAGACTTCCAACAGAGTTATTATTATAGAAAGTGCTAAGACAATAAGTGAGATTTATGAATATTAGCTGCAAATTTATGAACATTACGCTGCATTTTGTTGCCTCAACACCTCCAATACTTGTTATTCGGCGTCTTATTTTAACTTTGAGTTATTATTAATTAACAGTTTTAATTTCGAATTTAATTGAGGACACGAAATGAAAAATTATCAGATTTTGAGTAGATGAAATAAAAAGAAATGAAGCAATAAATAAGTACTGATAAAGGAATAAAGTTATTAATTTTAATGTCATAATTCTGAATTAAAAATAAACAGACGCAGAAAGATACAGTATTAATTAATTTACTTTTGTAACAGTTAAGACTGGTTGTAATGATTGAGATGAGATACAACAAATACAGTAATAATTAATTTACTTGCGCAATGACTGAGTCTTGGTTTAGTTTCGCAAATATTATGGAAATATCATGGTATTTCCCATCTTATAATTTATTTGAGTTTTATTTTTATCATATACAATGAAAAAAATTAACATAAATTATTGAGGACAAGGATTTAAAGTTCTTAAAAACGACTTCGCATCTCGTATAAAAAGAACAAAAGGAATTTTTTATGAGTTAAGATATGACTGCAAACAAATATAATAAACCAATCAATTAAGGAAAATAAAAAAGAAACAATTTCAAGCAGGAAATTTTAATGTTGATCAGTATGTTAAAAATTTTGAAATAGAGAAATTTAGAGGCTCAATATTTCTCTAACAGCAATTTTAAATTTTTTCTAAAAATGTTCTTAAGACGACATAATATTGTAGAAGTATTATTGAGTAACTGTGATCACAAATTTAACATCGTATTCCAGTTTGAAAAAAAATAGTCATTAAAAACGAACTAACTAGCTGCAGTATATATATTCCAGCATATCTGCATCCTTTTTTTACCGCCGAGATGGGCTCTTAGTGTTTTTGAAATTGCTCGAAACTGGGAAAGGGACATCATTTTAATTTGTAAATGCAGACGGACAATTTTAATTTTCAAAGCAGACGGACAGTGAAGTTTTAAAATATCGAAATTACAGAAACTTATTAGCTTAACACTTAATGACATAGTTTCGTATTCTTTTGCAAATATTAAAGATGTTTCGAAATATATTTTTTAAATAAATAAATAAGCATAATGCAATTAAAACAAGTTTGACTCGAATTATTGTTTCTTAAAAAAATTACGTTGTACTTTGCTATAATTCTAGTTCATAAACTGTGAAAATTCTTAGCATTTCTTCCTGATGTTGAAAATCGTTCATTACTTACATATTTGTGAGCAAGGTGTAAAGAAAGAAAAACTGTTTGTATTATGTTTCAAGGTAAAAATAACTTTCAAATGAATATCATATATCTTCGAACGCTATCGAAAGGTAAATTGCCTTTAGCGATTATCTAATTAAGCAAAAATAACCGTTACTAAAATACCTGAGTACGATCACTCGAGCAGAATCCTTACTTTGTCCTCACATAAGTGTTTGCCAAGTACAGGTAAACATCAAGAAGAGTTTATAGGTTTACGGAAAATGCGTTTGATTCTCTTGCGCCTATTCAGCAGATAGCCTTAAATATATGAGAAACTTAACGTTGGATGTTAAATTTAGCGGATGATCTCTTGAAAAAAAAAAAGTCTGTGACTTCTTCAATGGAGCTCGTACATAAGGGCATGGCATAGGTTTTACGTTTGCCCTGAACTGATTGGTTGCTAGGAAACATGTGATCTCTGCGCATTTAACGTCACAAGGAGAAACGCGCACTTTTTGCGAGCACGGCAGTTTTCTGCCTGAAAGTATTCGTTCGCTCCATGTTTTCAAAAGTTCAATTTGGTTTTCATAAAATAATTGCTTTTCAAAACTTGAGAATATAGCATATAATGGCATTTCGACTCTTTTTTTTTTTTTTTTTTTTTTTTTTTTTTTGTTTAAAAAAATGAAATGCAAGCAGTTAAATTTCCGGAAGTAAAAATTTCTGAATTGTCGAAATTACAGGAAGAAGGAGAAATGGATATTATTTCACATACGGATCGAGAAGATAATATGGGCTTATCAGTATTTTAAATGCTTCCGTTTGCACAGTTATTGCTTATTTCTAAGTAGTCTTACTTCAGATTACAGGTGTCATAGGTTTAATCATTTACACACCGATTTCAGTTCCGTTTAAATTTCATATAATATTAATAATTTGATTAATATTTTAATATTTCGTATACTATAACTAATCAATTAAAAGAAAAATATACTTATTATGCGAGAAAAAGTTATGTTTATTCCCTCCCCCATTTGGTAAGACTCACATTCAGCTCACACATCCTCTTTCATGCATGAATTGAATTTTACTTTATATCCATAAATCTAATCTTGAGTAATTTATATCCATAAATTTTACTTTATATCCATAAATCTACCTCCTTTGAGTTACTGCAATAAATACAATTAAATCTGGATAGTGCAACATGTTGTATAAAATTACACAGCCCCGTGCCTACTGCGGGAGGGTCAAGAGGTTAGTATGCACAGAAGTCCGTTATTCGAATCCTTGTGAGACAACGGTTGATTTTTCCTCCAGGCTTCGCAAAACCTAACAGTGTTTGTACTCTGTATGAGTGCACGTTGGCGGACCGTTAACTCATCACCACCTGGATTATCGTGCCTTTCCCATCACTCTTTGGCCCATATCACACGGCGTTTGTTTCACACGACAACTGTTTCGGACAATTTTTCTGCCTGGTTTACTATTGAAAGACGTGCGACTTTTTCCTTCCTTTCCAAAAAAATTATAAGTTGTTCGTTTTCAGCCAATCAGCCATCAGCTTCGAATACTATCAACTTGTTTGTAATGGGGAACCATTTTCCCCTGTGTTAACCGCAAAGCGATCTACTGTGATTGGCTGTTGTGACAAAGCAGAAAAATTGTTCCAAACAGTTGTTCTTCCGAAACAAACCGACGTGTGATAGCAGCCTTTAAGAGTGGGAGGAAGGAATGACAACATCCGCTCCCTTGTGCTTTCGTGGTGCTCGTCCAACTCAGGACTAAAGAGAAGGGCTAGCTCATAGAGTGTTTCCCCCTGAAACATGCAGTGAGGAGTGATGACGTAGCAATGATGCCACTGAGCGCGGAGATGCAGTTGACAACATAGAAATTAGCGTTTTAAATTTGAAGAACCAGCGTTTAAAATGAGCTGTGTGTGAAAGATAGCTATAATTTGGAAGAGACAATGTTACTGCAGTATGCATTTTACACTGAACATTACAAAATTTAATAGTACTTACTCAATTTTAAAATAATAGATAAAGTGCGCTACTCTTAGCATAAAGTTCCTTTTTTTATTTGCAGGGATTTTTTTTTCTTTAAATGCCTGTTTGTTTCTAATCATTTCTTTATCTGCATGTTAACTAAGAGAACTGTACTACTGCTTCTAAGATAACTATAATAACAGCTATTTAAAATTAATCAAAAAACAACCTTAAATTGGCATAGTTTTAAACATGTATGGTTATATATGGCAAAATTTCTGCTAATCTAAGTTTGAGTTTCAGCCTAATTGTAAATTTTACATTGGCATATTTTTCTCCCGATTCAATATAATAACATATATTTTTTTTAAAATAATTTTGTAACTTAGGCTTACATCAATATTTCATTTAAATAAATACATGTAAGATTGTTATCTTAATTTAGACAAAACAACTTTACTCACAGTACCTAAAATAATTATTTAATTTTTCAAAAGTGGGGGTTAGGGGGCAGGTCTTCTTATGCCAATTACTTTAATATTATACTTTATATATATTTTATCTAGAATGCTAAGCTAACACAAAATCGAATCAATAATAACAGAGGATACAATAAAAATAACTGTAACAATAACTTAACAGAATTAGTTCTCATTTGAAATATGCTTTACGCTATTAACTTCTAAAATGCCATCTAGAAATATTTCAAATCAAAACATATTATATATGCTTACTTGTACAGTCGCAATGCAACTACAAGTTGTTGAAACATTATTTATTGGCTGCCACATTCGAAGCAATCCATTTTTTTGCCTTTTGGGTTGCTTTTCTTTGGGAAAAAACATATGCATTTCTATTTAAGAAACGTATTCTAATAAAAGTTCTCACTCTGCAAAATAAACGAATTGCTTCTCTGTTAACTTCAGGATAATATTTCTCCAGTTTATTAATTAAAGAGCCAATTACATGCTTCCCTTTATAGTAAGTTGTACCATGAACTGCACAAAATATGTTTTCGAACTCATAAACTGTATTCATTTATGAATGAGAAGGTGTAGTCAAACCTCCTAAGGACAATAATTTAATCCATTCTGAATTAAATATTGGTTCATCAGCACTATTTTTAGATATTGTTCCCAATGATGGGTCTTTGTCTTGCACACGATAGGCAATATAACCTGCAACATATGTTAATGCTTCTTTTTCGGCTGTCGAAAATTGTCTGTCGGAATTCAATTCTAATTCCCATGCCATAGGAGAAGGTTCCTCTATGAAATCCAAATCCAAATCATCAATAGTATTTAATGGAAAAGCATCTTCCTCCTCAGTTTTCAAAGCCCTTTCAAGTATTTCGGATGTTAAATATGAATCAATATTTCTGCTTTCTTTAGTCATGCATACTTTTGAAGATAAATTTGGCAGCTTATTAGCGAGTATTAATTGCTTTAAGCGGCGTATAACTTCACTAGGTGATGGATGGTCATTAAACCTACCAAGCCCTCGAATCTGACTAAAGAGACTTTCAAGTGCATCCTGAGTTAATCTAGAGGTTAAAATATATTTAGCATCATACGATGATTTCAAATCCTGGTGTAGGCCAAAAAGAGAATTTATTGAAATTATTATTCCTTTTTGGAAAGGCAGTAAGTTGGCTTTTCCCTGAACTCTTAATCCACCAATGACTTTCTTCATTAATTCCAAAACTTGAATTTGTTTTTCATGATGTTCATTTAATCCAAATGCTGCTTTAAGTATTTTATCTGAAGGAGGGTATGTTTTCGTACTATTCATAATATCGAAAAAATTGTCGATTAACTCAAAGAAGTCGGATGCTTTTTTATCTCCTGTGAGGTGGAGTATACCTTTTGCTGTAGTTCTTGAAAATAATGTTTTCGCTGGAGCGACTTTTTGTCTCTCGTTTCCCTTGACCATTAAATAATTTGGTTTTAGTTTGTGACACAATTTAATTTCTCCTGAATCTTTATTTAAAACCTCTTTAATAATATCAACATTTAAAACAGTTCCATCTTCTAAAACAAATCCTTTATCTAAAAAGTGGTTTCTCAGTAATTTGAGGCAGTGCGCTAAATCTGCAAAAACCCATATTTTTTTTCGTTTGGAATACTGGATTTGGAAACTGAGAACTATTAATCGAAATCTGTAACTCTTTCCACAAAGTAGTAGATCCTCCTAAATCAGACACTATTGCTTTCACTTCTACTCCAGATGATTGAATATGTCTTATGAGTGAAAAAAGAAGTTCTTTCTTCATTGGAGTGTTAAAATCAAAAAATATTGGTTGTTTCCACTGCGAAATGAGACCTCTGATTAAAACAAACTGCACTTTTTGAAAAGGACCGAGAATTTGGTCCAGTTTAGAGTCATAGCAGAGTTTAGAATCTATGTGCATTTCGTCGAAACTGAGAACGCATATTTTTTCTACAGAATTCAAATATTGGCATCTTTCCTTCATTACAGCAAGAACATCACTCTGAATTCCTGGACTACATGAAAATTTAGCGCACCATCTCTTTAATGTGCTAGTGCTAGGTAAAGGAATTCCCATTTTTTCTTTCCAAAAATCGTAGCTTTTAGATGACAGAGCTCTTATGACAATGCAACGTGAAATATCTTCACTAGTCCACCTGATTTTTTTCCTTCTTTTCTAGCAATGCGTTAATCTGCGTCTTTGTAAAAATATGCTTTCCCCGACGATCTGTTTTCCTTTTTAGAAGTTTACTCAGTTGCTGGTTGCCTTCCAGGCCAGAGGTTTAATCCTCTTGATAATTTTAAACGTATTATAGTGTTCACAGTTTCTCTGTACTACATACGGCTTCCTGTTAATATAAGGCCAATCTTCCACGTTTATTATTTTAAAGTTAAAGTAGAGTTTAGTTATATTTTTATATTCTTACGTTTAGACCACGAGTAGTGGGTCTTTGTATTCCGAAGTACGGAAATTATTGTAAATAGAGAAAAATAAAGGGTTTTGTATACCCTTCTTGTGTATCCTGTCTACTTCCCACAGTTATTGAACATAGCTTTAGTAAGCTCTCTGTTCCGAGTCAGGTCCTTGCATGTTCCCGAAGAAAGTAAGACGGAACATTGAACCTGATAGTTTTTCCAAATTCTCCGATCTGTTCTGTTTTTTCCTAAATTTCGCTGTTTGGGATTTTAATTTCTGAATTTCCGATACAAATTTCTTTCTAGATGTCATCCACCTTCTTTGTCGCTGAGCAAACATTCTAAAATTTTTCTTATCTCTATTTTTCAATATTTTATTACAATTTTCTAAGGATATTATTTTGTTCTTCAAATTATCAATACATTCTTGTTTATCTTTACACTTAGGCACTCAGGGATATTGTCACTTAGGGCATTGTCACAGTTTTATTTCAAAATCATTCACATTTTGATTTATTGTCAGCTTCAATTTCGTTCTCGGCCTCAAATAAATTTTCTTTGGGCTTAATTCGTTTCAAAAGCACTCTGCATTAGTTTTCTTTTCAAAATGTCTCCGATTTCTTTGTGTTATTTCGTTTACACGATAAATTTACTTTCGGCACAGCATTGCATTTCAACAGTTTCTTTTGCGGCAATCCAAGCAAGCGATTTCTCATGTCATCTTCATATCACTGCACAGAAAATGTTCGCTGCAAATTCTTGCGTTTTTCACATTAATAGAAATCTTGTCTTCGACATTTATGTATCCATTCTCTTCGTCAAAAGCAAATTATCCTTTGGGAAAGCATGAAATACAATATCTCTTCCTTTCGTATTTCTATAAGTGTTACGGCACGTTGCTACAGCACAAGAAGCCATATTACATAAAGGATATTTAAAAGGATAATTTAAATAAAAGAAAAACTGACTAAAACTAAATATATATATATACACAAATTATTTTAAATATTTGCATTATTAGAAAACAAATATGTATGATTAACATTAATTTGGGATATGCGATCTCCAGAAAAATCGTCTCGCAAATGAATGAAACTACCGTTTTAAAGGCGCGAAATCAGAGCAGGTGCAACAGAGACACGTCAGATTACTTCTGGTTCCCCCCCCCATGAGGCTCGCGTCGGCGAGGAGTCGAACAAAGGAATGACCTAGCCCTTCTAGTTATCCCTGGTCCA